TCTAAAGGATTTATATATTCAGAAATGCTCAATCAACAAGATGCCCATACAATTAGAGTTGTTACCTAATATCTAACCTTTTGATAGAAGTAGCTACCCAGCTTTCGACCCATTCATTGTTCTCCATGACTGATAGCCTCCTTCTTCTCCTCCCCTTCCTCTCCTTTTCCCCTCTCCCCTTCCTCTCTTTCTCTCCCAGCTCCACCTCTTCTTCTACTGCCTAATCACCGAGCTCCACTGGGAATACAATGTAGCAGAATAAGTATCCAGCTACACTTGATCATGGGCAACACGAGCCAACAACCACTGTGGCCTTACAGGTGTTACACCCAGGAGACCACTGCTCAGCCTTCAGCTTCCTCACACACCTGTGCTGGGTAGGGTGAGACTTGTGCCCTGTGTCACTGTGGGTCACTGGGCCACTGACACTTCCACTGTATGTTTGGCTGACTACAGAGGATGGTGGCCTCTCCCTTCCCATCTGGACACTCCTTGCTTGGCTGTCACTGACAAGGTGCAGGGGAGTATGACGCAAAAAAGACAAGAGCTGCTCCAACTGCCTACCCCACTCTCAACTCCACTGCTAGGCCAAGGTTAACGATGCTGTCTCCTGCTCACTGCCTTGCTCAGCCTCTGACTTTCTCTAGTCTCCTTGTCTCCTAGCACACGAGACATCACAGACACAGATGTGTTCTGTTCAAACATGGCCGCTGCACCACCACCGCCCACCAGAACAGAATCCCAAATCCCTCGTGTGGCCCTGGAAACCGTGTGTGGTTTCCTTCAACTGATAAGTTGACCCCGCCCCTTTGCATCATGATGTAGGAACAGTGTCAGGGGTCAAAGGTCATGTTCTCAGAGCTCTTCTTGAACCCTGATCTGGGCCAAGGTTCTTGCCATTTGACTGTGCCAGATTTACTTTCCCTCCAGTTGCTATCCTAAGTTAGTCATGAGACACTGGAGAATCGCCACACTGCGGAGGCAATCACTCTTTCCTGGAACATGGTTACACAGGAAGGGATTTGGACTCTGTGTCTTATCTTTATTCCTGGTACAAAGCCCGCACACAATAGGTGCCTAATAAATACCTTCACGATTACAATATGTGCCATCCAATCTAGACAGGCATCAGCTGCAGCCAGTTCCCATGAGCAGCTAGCATGTACCTTTCTTAGCCTTATCTTTCTGTTCTTATACTCTACCTCTAAATGGCCTTTAAAAACAAAATGCATGCTTTGCTTTAAAGACGACAAACCATGCTTTAATCAAGGACTAGAAAGAGCTACAGTCCTTTTATTTCCTTATCTCTATTTGCCATCTTGAGTTAACAGCAATTTTTGGATGGTTTTCAACTGCTCTTTGGCAGGCTGGGACTACTGGGCCATGCCATACCTCAGAGAATCTAAAGTGAGTCAGGTCAGAAACAAAAATGTTTAACTACAAGCTTCCTCCTACTGAAGTCACCCAGAGCCAACTGTCTGCCATTGGTGGACAGCCAGACAAGAGAAAACCAAACGCCAACCAGCAGTTCCGAGGTCATTCTCAGACTTCCATGTCACCTGTGCCATCCCCCAAAGCTGTGGCACTAGGGTGGTGTGACTAGTCACATGAAGGCTAACTCCACACATGGCCACAAAGAATGTTGCTGAAACAGGAGCACTGTGACACACATCTGCAAACCCAGCGCTGGCTGAGGCCGGACGAGGACACTTGTTAGCATAACGATAACACAGATTATATGACAGATTTGAAGCTAGCCTAGAGCTGTGTTGTGAGTCCTTGTCTTAAAATCCCTAGATAATCAAAAATAAAAGTGCTATCGGTCACTGCTGCATCACCATGCCAGCAGACACAACCTCCTGGAGGAAAGACTGCTTTGGTACCTGTTTTCTGAAGTGTTAATCCACTGGAGTGGGAAGGCACTAAGAGCTATACTGTCCTTGACAGCAGGAGAGGGTGGGGTGGAGTTCATGAGGTGATTTACCAGGGCACAGAGGGTGGCTAGAACCAGGACATGAGCAAGATACTCTTCACACAGCTGCACCCAAGATCTACAGCCTTCCATTAAAAGGTAACAGCTGAGGGTGATATTAGTCTGTAAACAGACCTGTCTTCAGTACCTGAGCCTGTAGGGGTGTTCTGAACTGAAACCATAGCAAACGTGGTGTTGTGAACAGCCTTAATTTCTACTAACACACAAGGAGGACCCTAGAACATCTCGTTGTAAAGCCTGCCCGGCAGGAGACCACACTACAGAGGGAGGCTTCCTGTTCCTACAGGGCAGGCAATAGCAGGTGCAGCCCATTCTGCATACTCACACAGAGTGTGGGGTCCTGGTGTGACTCAATAACCCATCTCTTGATAATGAACTATTAAACTCAGGAATACAGAGTGTGTTGTCTAAGTTCTCAGAGCAAGACAACGGGAGAAGCAACATGTAAACTAGCCAGTTCATTACAAACAGGGTTTAACAAAACGCCTTGGGGAGGGGCCAGCTACGTTAAAATCATGCCACAAAGTTTGTGGAAAACATCCTGACTGAACAATTCCGGGGTGTGCAACCCCAGCACCTCCAGCACATTCTACAGCCCCGCTCGGGGTCCTCATCTGTTCCAGTTTTACATTCAAGTTGGGTTTCTTAGATATGGAGGAAGTAGGATGATCTTACATCATCCGGG